AAAATAAAATAAAATAAATTTATCTTTATTTGGAATGTATTACCGATGTCCCCCCATTGGCCCCCCCAACACTTTCCCCACACTATTCTCAGTGTCCATTTGTGATGCATATATGCATGTAAATTCTTTGGATTATCTCTTCCCAGCCCCTCTCCCTCCTTCCCTTTGAGGTTCTTCAATCCAACAACTAATTTGTTAATCCCTTCACCTTTTTGGGTGAATACAACTTTTTTTAAAACACCCAACTATATGCTGCCCACAAGACACTCACTTCAGCTTTAAAGACATTCATAGGCTCAGAGTGAAGGGATGAAAGAAGATAGTCCGACCAAGAACAAAACAAAAGAAACAAGGGTAGCTGTACATATATCACACTAAATAAAATTTTAGTCAAAAACAGTAACATGAGACAAAGAAAATCATTATATAATGATAAAGAGGTCAATTCATAGACAACTTATTATAGTTGTGGGTATGTATAAACCATATTAGAGAACCTAAGTATATTAGCAAATACTAATAGATATGGAGGCAGAAATAGACAACAATACAATAATAGTGGGGGACTTGCCCAACCACCCTATACACCGAAAGGTTGCAGGTTTGATCCCCAGTCAAAGCATGTACAGAAGGCAACCAATCGATGTTTCTCTCACACATCTCTCTCTCTCTCTCTCTCTCTCTCTCTCTCTCTCTCTCTCTCTCTCTCTCTCTTCCTCTCTCTAAGCATGTGCTCAGGTGAGGATTAAATAAATAAATAAATAAATAAATAAATAAATAAATAATAAATTGAGCATGATGGATTAAAAAAAAACTAGGAGACTTGAATACCACACTTTCAGCAATGGATAGATCATCCAGACAGAAATCCACAGGAAAAAGTGAACTTGAACAATGCAGTAGTGATTAATGAAACTAATAGACATTTATAGAAAACTCCATCCAACAGAAGCAGAATACATGACTACTAAAGTACACACAGATCATTGTCCAGGATAGACAATGTGATAGGACACAAAACAAGTCTTAACAAATTTAGGAAAACTGAAATCACACCACACGAGTTTTCCAGCAACAAATGTATAAAACTAGCAATCACCAACAAAAGGAAAGCTGGAAAATCTATGAATATGTAAAAATTAAACGACATACTCCAAACCACCAGTGGGTCAAAGAAGAAGTCAAAAGAAAAGTAAAAAATGTCTTAAAAACTCTGTCTGTGTGGTGCAGTTGGTTGGAGCATCATCCCATACACTGAAAGGTTGCGGGTTCAATTCCCAGTCAGGGTACATTCCTAGGTTGCAGGTTCGATCTCTGATCAGGGCGTGTACAGGAGGCAACCAATGGATGTTTCTCTCTCACTTTGATGTTTCTCTCTCTCTGAAATCTATAAACACATCCTCAGGTGAAGATTAATATATATTTGAAGGAAAGAGAGAATAGAAACACAACATACCAATATGCCTGGATATTATCTGTTTCCAGGGCACACATGACCACGTGGCCCTTTGGAAAAGACCAGAACCTTTGCATTTGTTGACTTGAGGTGAGTCCTCATTGGACCTTGGCTTCTCTTTCTAGTAATAAATGGCAGATTTGAGAAGTGGCTCAAGTCTGGACAAGGACACAGGATCCAGACATTTTGAATGTGTGGAGCAGGTCATTTAAGATGACAGGGTATGGTTCATGGGCTCTCCAAGTCCTCACGATAGACTAACATCTCCCCAGAACTAGGACCCACAAGGCTCTCATTTCCCTCTCATAACCACAAAGATATGATTGCGGTTTCACCTCTGGGGATAGACCCAGTAATCAGAGCAATGAACAGTTGGGAGTGGCATTGCACCGTTGGAGACAGGGAAGACAAGACCACACCTACTTGTCCAAAGGAGTGAGCCCCAAATTTCAGAAGAACTCTCCCTAGTCTCCGGCTCCCCAGGGTAATTGAATTTGTCACAGATGACTGAGCAACAGATAGATGTATTACACCTTGTAGTATAAAAGTGACAAAGAGACACATTTTACTTCCAATGACCACATGCACTGTGGAGCACACAGTGTACAAACACATCTCACCAAGTGCAATAGTCTTACTACGGACCTGGGTGTCAGGAGACACAGGAGGAGATAATATAGTCTGAGGAGGGTCAGGAAGACTCAATGGGAGGTGATATTCATGTTCTTAACTCTAACTTGGTGTTTTACCATCAGTATCATTTGCAATAACAAGGTTCAGATGCAGAGATCATCTCATTGTCCACAACCAAAGGAGAAGATAAAAAATGCTTTCTTTGGTGCGATTTCTTGTTCATGTAGTTGGAAGACTAAGTGCAAGAATTCCAACACCTGGCACCAAGGTAAAATAGAACCAAATGTTGGTAAAGTGCAGCAGTGACATGTCCCTCAAGCAATAAAGGACATGGGTATAGCATCTGCCGTGTCCTCAGGATCTTCCGGAGGTCTCTGCATTTGCTGTAAGGACTGCAGCTCCTGGAGCTCAGCAGGTGAACAGCTGGACAAGGAAGGACAGCCAACCAGAAAGGACACGTGCTGAACTAGACCACATCCTCTGGAGCTTTGAGCAGCATCTTCTGCCATCAGAAAAGAAACATGTGTTTGTTGCAGTAGCTGAGGAAATCTAGGATCAGTTTCCCTGGGGTTATGAACCCCAATCACATCAGAGCCCCACCCTCGCTGAGATGCACATAGTTCCCATCAATTCTCACTACCACCCTAGGTCGTCCCCTTCTTTACCATGACAGTCAGTCTCAAGTCCTGCAAATGAGAGGTGGGGCTCAGGACTCAAAGTGCAAATGAATTGTTGTGTTCCCTGCATTGAAGTCCTGATTCTAAAGCCCCCATGAGGAGCCCTGTCCAAAGACAGGGGCCTGCATCCCGGTTCCTCTCGCACTGGGGAGGGTTTCAGACAAACATCCTTGTTTCCCCTCCCCTCTCCTGTCCTCCTCACCCTGGTCACAGCACACCACTCTGAGAGTGACTGTCCCTGCCCTGCCCCATCCATCCCTGCTCCAGTCAGTGGTCAGCATCCAACTCCACAAGCAGCTCAGCCCCACTCAGCTCCCCAGTCACCTCTGTCCGAGGCAGGGGCCACTCAGTGGATCCAGATCTGAAGAAACCAGGATTCTGGCTGCCAGCTGACTGCACAAGGGCTCAGCCAGGAATCCCAGGGGTTCATTGGGAACTGAATTCCTTCGACCTTGTCCTGCACAGTCCCTACAGTTAGCCTGCTGCCTTACCTAATGTCACTGAAACAACTTTCCATAAAAGCACAGCCATGAACTCCAGCCTTGTGAGTTGGGGCTTGTGGGGATGAGGGTAGGTGCATTTTGTAACCTTGTGATATGCATTCTCACAACCTGGCCAGCCTAGGATCAAAGTGTGTGTGGACAGACAGGTTTGACTGGAAGGCAGGAAGACTGCCTTGGGTGCATATAAATGCTTCGTTTGCATGTGACTAAGATAAGGTTTGCATGAAAATGGCTGGACCACTGCCTCCAGTAGACCAATGAGTCCTATGACTCAAGAATGTCTGGGTTTGTTATTTTTTAGATTTAAAGTCCCTTTCCAACATAAAAAGTGAGAGACAAGGCTAGGCTATATGGTTTGCAGAGATGCCATCTCAAGGAAATAATTTACATAAATCCACGTGTAACTTGGCAACCATTCCGCAAATAAATTGGGCTGCATCCAAAGATCTGGAGCATTTGCTCTCTTGCAAAGCTCCCTCTCACTCCTACCAATGTGTGCTTGTAGTTCATTGCTTTGCGCTGACCCCAGCGGGCCCAGAGAGACGACAGGGGCTAAAAGGACTTCGACCCCTCTTTCTTGGGTTAGACCCAGGCCCCTCTTCTCTTAGTCCCCTGGCTATTCCCCTGACCCTGAACATCTCACATGGAGACACCATGCTGCTCTCACCTGAGTGTGAGTACTGCCCATGCACTGTGAGCCTGCGGGCCCCACCCACTGGGCCCACATAGACTCTCCCAGTAGGAAGTCTGAGCCCGCACTGAAATCACTGTACCCCTTCAGCATCAACAGACCTTAAGCTTTGGTGGGCCCCTCCCTTTCCCACTGGCATTAACAGTGAAGAGACAGCAGGTCTCAGCTGAGCCTGTCCAAGTTACTGCTATCAAGGGATATAACGTGTTAGTCTCCTGGTCTAAGTTCCAGGAGAAGAAAGTTCAGTGAGGGGACAGGGGATGGTCTGGAAATTTACTTTTCTCTGTCCACACTCAGGCCACCTGCCCCTCACTGCCCACCCAGTTATGCCCTCAGTACCTTTTATAGTAACAGATGATGAAACCTGATGAAAGCCGTATCCAAAACGAGCACACCAAGCACACCTAAGACAATGTAAACTATGGTTGTTGATGTGGTCTTGGCCGGTGCAGCTGAGACGGTGCTTGGTGTAGCTGTGGCCGGGGGCATGATTGGTGCACCTGCAATGGAAACACAAGCGGGACATCGTGTGAAGAACCCAATTTAAGGAGATCTCCTCCTCAGCCCCTGCTACTCCAAGTACTCCTACAATGCAGACAGTTTCTACCCCCTACATGTGGTAGCTACTGTGACAGATCCTGGGTTGGAACAAAGACAGGAGAAGAGCCCTGACCCCTTGTGGCTCACACAGCTAATGGGGGCAGCAAGGGTTCCAACATACCCTGTCATTCCTTCTATGACAGAAGAGGAGGAGACACAAGAGGAAGGCGGTAGAGAAGTCCTCTAGGAGCTGATTCAAGGTGGTATTGAAGGATCTCCAGACATAGACCCAGTGAGACAAACAAGAAAAGTGATGCTGAGAAGAGGAAACAGTATCAGCAATAGGTCTGAAAACAAAACGATGCCCTCATGTGTGGGTCAACAAGAATCCACAGTGAGTGTCCACGGTTATGTGCAGTGAGGAAGAGTTGTGAGGAGGTGAGAAATAAAAGGAGGGGTAGCAGAACATAACTATGGCCATGATTCTCCAAAAAATCCCATCATGCATGAATAACTTTCTCAAACCACGCACAACGAACAGACACAAACAGTGTTGATGCCAATTCAAGAGACCATGACTTCATTCTTTGTGCAGAGTTACCTTTAGTGCTCAGAACTCCATCCTGGTGACACAAAACTTGTTTAAGCCACATCCTACAGTCTCCAGCTGAGGTCTTCACAAGGAGATCGGTCATAGCTCTGTCACTTGCCAATATCTCCTTTAACATTCTGCCTTCATCCTTCAACACGATCCAGCTTCTAGTGTCAGAGTTCAAGCGGACAGATGTGTATTTATTTAATCCGAAGTCACTATATGCCATTCGATCTTCACTGGATTCTTCGCATTTTATGTTTCCCTGTAGAAAGAGAGAATCTGTCCCCAACCCCCATGGAAAAGAGATCAGCTTACAATCTTGACAAATCCTTTTTCCCCACCTATTGTCCAGCCCTGTGCCCGCCTCCAATGTACTGACCCTTCTGTATCTTTTGTATCTTACCATGGCTCCTGGGCCTCTTGGGTGAGAAGAACACAATTGTTCCTTAACCCTATATCACTGTTTACTTCTACCCTGGGCCTTGTTTACTTACTGCTAATTGCACTCTTCTCTGCTCTAACTTCAAGCAGTTTCTTTTTTAGCTCTTCCATCACATATTTCAGAGTGTCTCTCTGCTGATTCCAGGCCTCTGTGTCATTCCTCTTTGTCTCCTGAATATTGATGAGTTTGACCTGCTTGCTACCACAGGTAAAGCTAAAAAACGTGTTTCCATTGGCCTGGCCTTGAATTTCACACCACGGTTGTCCACTAGGAGTGATGGTGAATTTATAGCCAAGAGAGATAGCACCTGTGAAGGACAAATGCAGGTGAAGGTTGTGGTGGGAAGGAAAGTGCCGATAATCACCTCTCCCCCATCTCTGTCTATGGAGGAAAGGTCTGCAAACTAGCCAGTGCCCTGCGGGGACATGCAGAGCATGCAGGGCTGCTCCTGAGGAAGCGGCATGACAGTGGGGTGGGGAGGAGGACAGGCCTCCCAGCTGGAGAAGGGGAGTTTATGACTGTGGGTCATGCTCCAGCACAGCCCTGGGATGGTGCACCTGCTGCGAGGGTGGCTCTTGCAAGCCTGGAGGAAGGCGTGGCTCCAGTGCATGTGACAGAAAAGCCACAACTTCTGGGGCAGGTCGCAGAGGGAGGGATCAGGTGGCTCACAGAAGTGAATATGCCAGGAGGGATATGATATGAAAAGGCACCACAGTGTGCAATCCACCATGCTCCATGAGAAAGCCTGAACTAAACTCTGGTTTACTGAGCTGCTGAGGAAAGAACGGATGAGAAGAGCACAGAATTCTCTAAGAGCTCACTGATGACTTTGCTGATGGTCAGGAAAGGTGGTGGGACTCCGCGTTCCCCAAAATGGCTTCCAGTAGTAATGGGGATAGAAAATGTTGAAATAATAAATCAACAACAATGAGGTATCACCTTACACCTGTCAGAATGGCCGCTATCAACAAATCATCAAACAGCAAGTGTTGGCGAGGGTGTGGAGAAAAGGGAACTCTAGTACACTGCTGGTGGGAATGCAGACTGGTGCAGCCACTATGGTAAACACTATGGTGTTACCTCAAAAAATTAAAAATTGGCCCTGGCCGGTTTGGCTCAGCGGTTAGAGCGTCAGCCTGCGGTCCGGAGAGACCCAGGTTCGGTTCCCGCTAAGGGCATGTACCTCGGTTGCGGTTTGTCCCCGGCCCTGGTTGGTCGTGCGGGTGGCAGCCACTCGATGTGTCCCTTTCACGTCAATGTTTCTCTTTCTCTCTCTCTCTCTTCTCTTTCCCCCTCCCACTCTATCTGAACAAAAAGTGGAAAAATGTCCTCGGGTGAGGATTAAAAAAAAAAAAAAAATTAAAAATTGAATTTCCATTTGACTCAGTGATCCCACATCTAGCAATATACCCTAAGAAGCCTGAAACACAAATCAGAAAGAATATATGTACCCCTATGTTCATAGCAGCACTATTTATAATAGCTAAGGTCTGGAAACAGCCCAAGTGTCTATCAGTAGACAAAGGGAGAAAAGAACTATGGTACATATACGCAATGGAGTATTATGCAGCTGTACAAAAGATCTCTTATCCTTTGAGACAACATGGAGAGTATTATCCTAAGCGACACATGCTAAGCAGAGAAAGACCAATATCACATGATCTCACTTATTTGTGGAATATAATGACCATAACAGTCTGAGGAACAGGGTAGACCCAGAGACGTGAAAGTAGGGTACAGACTGACAACCCTCAGAAGGGGGGAAGTGGAGGGAAGAGATAAACCACAGAACTTATATGCATGTACGCATAACCAATGGACATGGACAACAAAGCTGGGGACCGGGTGGGGGGGATGGGGAGGAGGGTGTCAATGGGGAAAAAAGGAGAAACATCTGTAGCAAAAATAAATTTTAAAAAATACAATAGTGTGGGGAAGGCATAAGGGGGGTAAAAGTGGTGAGGAGGGGTCAATGGGGGAAACAGGGGGGACATATGTGATACATTCAACAATAAAGATAGGTTTAAAAATACAAATATGAAAAAAATAAAAAATAAGATAAAAAATAAAAAATAATAATAATAATAAATCACAGGTACAAGAGCTCTATGTCCGGAGCAAAGGAAGTAGGACCATCAGAATGATTAGGAAGCAGGGCCTCAAAGACAGAGTTATGACTATGGCTCACAGAACAGGGTGATCCTAGAGGCAAAATAGATGGACAACCAACCTTACTATTGAATTTAATCCATTAAAACAAACAAAGACAAAACACAAGGATGGATGATCAGGAGGCTGAAAGCCTGGATCCTTTGCCCAATTTCCAGTGTGGACCCTTCTCAGACCCAGAATTCATTACCAGAAGGAGAGGCCCAGCTGCATTGGGAAGCAACCTTTCAACCCTGAAGCAAATGCAGACGTCCTTCAGGCCTTCCCCAAAGACCCATCTGACCAGTGACTCAGATAAATGTACACTTGGAAGCACAGACTACTCACATTCATAATAGATCTTGTGTATGAGTTGACATCTTCCATCGGGATCTAAAGTGATGCATGGGGCCAGGTAACAAACAAACACCTGTCCCAGGTCCTGCTCACAGAGGTGTTATTGGTCCATAGATCTCACAAGGTTCATTTCACATTTCCCAGATTTGTAACAGGAATAGAAAATCTTTTTACTTACTGAATTACTTGTGTGCTCAGGACTACCACGGTAGGGAAATTTAGTACAATATTCTCAAACTGTCTTCCCTTCTCTCGAAATACAATGTTAAAACAGTATAGGAACCTGGATAAAATGATGGAGATCAGTACCAACCTTGCCCCTAAAGGATGAAAGAGTACGATCCATATTCTATAGCCATTTAATGAATAACAGTCTTGTCTGGACACTTTCTGTAAATGGCTAGCTACTAAATAGTTTAGTCTGTACAGGCCACAGTTCTCTTTACAACTACTCAACCCTGCTGTTCTAGTGTGAAAGAAGCTACAAAAATATATGAATGAATGAATGTGGCTGGACCTGCCACTACGACCCTATGACCCACAGGATCTTGGATACTAGAGGAATTTGTGCTAGGAAAAGTGCTATGTGGATTTGCAGGCATCCTAATGGGAACTTCATATCACAAGCTCATAGGGTCAGAAGAAAGGCCATGCCACTTGCAGCAGGAAAATCCACACCATTTAAAGAGGGCCTGGTGGAGATGAGGCCTCTGGCTATGGGATATCACAGTTGCCCAACATGAGCACCATTAGCTAAGGTAGGCTGAGTGTTCATATGATAGAATTGGCTTTTCTGGCACTGAGATGAGAAGGGTTACAGAGAACTGATGAGCAGGTGGCTCCAATCCTGACACCAGAAATGTACCAGCACCACCCTAAGCTCACACCTGTGGCTTCATGCAGTGTCTCTCATGGCCCCTTCCACCAAGGAATCCAGTTTACAGAAAGGAGGGGAACAGTGCCTCCTGCCTGTGGGACCAAGGTCCTCTCATTCAGTCCTCCCAGAAGCCACCAACAGGACAGGGCATGGTTCTGGCTCTTCAACACACAGCAGAGGCAGCCTGGGTGATGATTCCCTAGGGGAGTGGTCACCCATATGGGACTCCCTACATACCCTATATCTGGGGTCAGCAAACTAGGACAATGGCCACATCTGGCTGGTCCCCAAATTGTTTGCATGTTGTCTTTGGCTGCTTTTGCACTACACACATGAAGGTGCCCAGTGCTTACAGACACAGATACCAAAAAGATTTACTGTTTACCATTTATAGAAAAAGTTTGCCAACTGCTGCCTAAATCTATGACCTGCTTATACTGCTGCTTCCTCAGAGGGTGGGAAATGGGGGCTTGGGATGAAAAGCTGGAGTGACAGTGCCCTTCCTCATCATCGTTGGCAGGGTTATACTTTGGAAAAATGCGCTTCCTGTCCTTCCTGCTCCAGGTACTGTGGGCCAGCTGCAAAGGCTTTTGCTGCCTGGGTCCTGGGGCAAGGGGGATAAGGTGCTACTTGGTGAAGGAAATGATTAAGGTCACTTCACAGATGGGAAAGTTCTGGAGGCACTGGTGTTCTTGGAAGAACTGGATAATAAAACTGGGTGAGCTGGGGAGGGGAGCCCTGACTTCCCAGGAAAATGGTACTGAATGGGACTAGGCTGGTTTTGTGGCTGATGGCTGAGAGTTCAAAGCTGGAGAGCCGTGTGACTCCTTAGGGGAAATGGAAATAAAGTGAGCCTGGCTGGGGCGGCAGGGTCCATGAACTACTGTGAGAGTGGAGAGCAGTGGAGATGATAGAGAGCTTGCGTGGGAAAGTCGTGTGAGAAGAGTGGGGGCTGGTGGTTGTCTGTCTGTGGATCGCTACCCCAGGAAACGCCAGCGTCATGGCACAGGGGCTCCCAGTTCTCCAGAAGCACGAAGTGCCCTGAGGCAGGAGAGTGGTCTGGGGGGACAAGTGTGCAGCAGAGCTCCTTGTTGCTCCCTCTCTCCTTCTCTCCTCCCCGGCGCACTTGCCCCGCATCACCGATTCTCTTTAGCCACCTCTTTCTTGCCCGGAAGGCAGCAACCCCTCGCCCTGGACACCAAGCCTGAGTCTACAGCAGGCTGGCTGCGGAGGGGGTAGTGTTGCCACTGGCTGGAAGGCTCTGGAATGCCACCCGCACTCCGATCCTGTCCGCGAGGTTATTGTCCCCCTCCCATCTCCTTCCTCCCCTTCCCCCGTCTCCCCAAGCACCCCACTGAAGATTTTTTCCCGAACTCACCTCCACGCAGCAAGGGACAGTCGGCTGCCCGGGGGCAGTCTGGCAGCAGAGCCAGGACCAGGAGGATGAGGCTGAACCTGGAGCCCGAGGTCCGCACCATCACCAGCTGCGATGGGAGCTGCCCTGCGTAGCTGACAGCTGCGCGGGCAGAGCGCCCGGGACAGTGTCCGAGACCTGAGTCCTTTTCTTGACAAGGAGAGAGATGGAGGTGAGGCTACCAAGGCGAAAAAGTCCCGGCAGTCGAGTGAGCGGGAGCAAGAGAGGTGCCAGCTTAAAGAGCGCCCCACCCAGCCCTGGCCGGTTTGGCTCAGCGGTTAGAGCGCCACCTGTGGTCCAGAGAGACGCGGGGTCGGTTCCCGCTACGGGGCTAAGGGCACTACGCGATTGCAGTCTGTCCCCGGCCCTGGCTGGGTCGTGTGGGAGGCAGCCACTCGATGTGTCCCTTTCAAATATATGTTTCTCTCTCTCTTTTTCCCACTCTATCTGAACAAAAAATAGAAAAATGTCCTCGGGTGAGGATTAAAAAAAAAAGAGCAGGCCGGCCAGCATGGGTGCAGTCCTTAGACCAGCGTGTGCTTGTAGTTTCATTGCGTTGCACTGATGATCCCTGCAGGCCAAGAGAAGGCAAGGGGTGACCCTGACCCGATCCCCGAGTAGTAGCAGCGGGATTGACGCGAACAGCAAGTGGTGAAGCCGCGGCGAGATTTGATTGGATGCGACCAGCAAGGTAACAGTGCGCGAAAGCGAATGAGCGATTGAGGCCCGGGATCAAAGGACACTTCAGTCCCTGGAGAAAAAGTATTCTGGAGCCTGCCCGCCGGCTTGGGACAGCTGCCAGCACATCTAGGGTCTGAGGGGTTTCCGGTAAGCAGCATGGGGTCGGGATTTCCTAAAGATCAGCGACTTTGTGCTTGAGTCTTACAGCTGCTGAAAGGGCTCAGTGCTCAGCATGGGAGCGGAAGCTCTTGCGGTTTCTGAGTTCTGCCCATCCGCTAAGGAGGATACATTGAATTCTGACATGTGGTTCAGAGTAGGTTAACTTTTAGGATGCGCAAAGATTCAGGGTTAACATTTCCACCTCACACTTTTTTTATGGCGACCGGTATTTACAGCATTGCAGCAGCTGACTCAGGAGATCAGTCCCAGCAGCGCTGCGGCTCCAACCTCCCCTTGGGAGGATACTCCAGAGCCCATGGCTCCCCCTCCCCCATGGTTGCCAAAAGAGAAAAGTTCCCTTACCCCTCCTCCACTTTTTGTGGAGGATTTCTTAGCTGCACGCCCAGCAATGGAGGGCTGTATTAAAGAGGCCAGGAAAGCGGGCGACTTTCCAGCTGTAATACAGCCAGGCCAACCACCTGTGCACGAATGTTTGCCTGTCAGGTTTTTAAAGAATTCAGGCAAAGCATAAAGGAGAACGGTTGGCAAAATTCCTTTACTATAGGAATGTCTGAGGGAATACCTGGTAGTTAACTGATGACTCCCTGGGATTGGAGGGCACTAGCCCAATTAGCCTTGTGGAAGTTCAGAGGAAGGGTTGGAGACCTCAGAGCCTCCAAGGCAGGAAGGGCCAGCCTGGATCTTATCACCACCACAGAATTAACCCTTAAGGAGTCTGATGAGGTTTCTTTAGTTCCTACAGGAGTGTATGGCCCCTTGCCAGAGTTTAGTGAAAGTAGGTTTAGTGATTGGAAGGTCTAGTTTAACAATGAAAGGAATACAAGTGATGCCAGGGGTAACTGACTCAGATTTTGAAGGAGAAATTAAAGTAATGCTTAAGGCTGTGGGCTTTCATGTATTAACACTGGGAACCCGAACAGCTCAACTTCTTTTGTTACCCTACTGGATTCCTGGAGCCACCTCCACAATAAAAGGGAATGCAGGGTTTGGGAGCACTGGTCAGTGTGATGTTCTCTGGACTCTGGCTATTGACACCAGAAAGCCCTTGCTCTCCACTGATATACAAGGGTGACTATTTTCAGGATTGGTGGATGCAGGGGCAGACATTTCTATTGTAACAATATGGGAATAACCTAAGGAATGGCCTAAAGCCCGGTACCCCTATTAATTACCGAAGTGGGAGGAACTCAAGTTCCTCAACAAAGTACTGGCTCCCTTTCCTGTACAGGCCCAGATGGACAAAAAGGATGAATTCAACCTTACGTCATGGAGTATCCCCTAAATTTGTGGGGAAGGGATCTTCTCTCTCAATGGGGAATGGCTAGGGGTCACTGGTAAAATTTCCCTCCTTTCACTGGCCTAGAAAACAACAGAACCAGTATGGGTTGATCAGTGGCCCTTAAAAGGGGAAAAATTGTTATATGCAAACAGATTAGTGAAAGAGCAATTAGAAGCAGGTCATATAGAACGTTCAGTCAGTCCCTGGAACACTCCCATTTTTGTAATTCCTAAAAAAGTCAGAAAATGAAGATTACTACATGATTTTGTTGTAAGGTGTCAGCGAGAACCAGAGACGCACAGCCGAATTGTACAGGAGCACTTTATTACACTGGCGGGCTGGGGGGATCTCCCCAATCCCAGCCCCAAGCTTCCTTTGTTCTTTGCTTATATAGGAACAAAATACAGGGAAAAAAAAAAAAAAAACTACATTAAAAAAATAGAAAGAGCTACATTCAAAGAAAAAACTTACATTCCTCCTGGTTCCACTTCATTGGCATCAGGGCTGATACAGACTTCTCCCGAGGGGGTTCGGTAGCAGGGGTTAGGGCAATCATTAATCTCTTTTGTTTTTATGGTCCCTTCAAGTTCCCCAAGGCCATCATTAACCCTTATCTTTATGGTTCCTCTGGGTGTCAGTCCCAGGTTTTTTAGAAAACTGCTCAGGTGTTTATGTGCAGGAATAACTGATCAGAATGGAGTTTGATTTTTTAAAATAGCCCAGTTTATTCCCCACTGGTTTGATATATATGAGTCAAATAATTAACTCCCCCTCCTTCTCTGGGACAGGGCTATATTGTCCCTTAACTGCAAGGAGTTTTACAGAATTTATTATTATCCTCTGTATAGTTTTCATGAGGTCGTTCATTATGTATGGCCCCAAGGCTAGAAGTGAGCACAATATGGCTGGAGGACCGGTGATGGCAGATAGCAAAGTTGTTAGCCATGGAGACCAGTTAAACATCGGTTGAAACCAATTTTCAGATCCCCATCTTCTTTTTTCTGTTCCCTTATTTCTCCTAAAGATAAGCTTTCTTGTATAACCCTGGAGTTGTTGGCATAGAAACAGCAGGCTTTGCCCAGTGCCACACAGAGCCCTCCCTGCTTGAGGAGGAGAAGGAGATCTAAACCTCCTCTGTTTTGTATTGCTGGAGGTTATACTTAGGTGGGAGAATGCAAGTCCCTTGCCCCTAGACGTCCCCCAAAGTTAACTTGGGTTGGTCCCATATATATTGTTGTCAGCATTTGGGGTTGGGAAATTGGCTCGAAGAGACTAGCCGTATATAATAAGTGGCCTTAAATTTAGGCATAACCAGCAGTCAGCCTCTATGTCCTTCCTGTGGCCCAAGAAAGGCCTAGCTGACTAATGACATTAGACATTAATCTGAATAGGGTTAGATTTTCCTATAAGGAAACTCTTGAGCTTCATTAACCTTCTAAAATTATATGAGGGCACCAGCTTCTTATATAGCTCTTAGTAGAAAACATGGTTTCACAACCCCGAGATGGACAAAAGTATTCATTTGCATTCAGGCAACTTGTGGTGACTGTACCGCTCCCTGGGCATATATAGATTCCTACCCCTTGTAGTCCCCATTCCCCCGTAGCTGTCCCGTAACCCCAGGGACCCTTCTATATGACACCAATCTTCAGTAATACCATCTGTGCTATGGTGCCTGTCATGAGGTCACATAAGTCGAGACTGAAAACAGGTTTTTCTGTCCCCTTTGTGGTGACAGTTCTTAAGACCCAATATCCCATTTTTAAGTTCCCAGTTCCACTGGGGCCCAGATCTATAAGGATTCCTCGTACAGTCATAACCAGAAAAATTAGAGTCCCGATAAATGCAAGAGTCTCATTTTTAAGGGATCTGGAGAGGCCTGGACGGTCCATTCTGCTTTTTCTGCCTTCAGCCAGGAGTGGTTGCAGTCAGACCGGGATGTCGTTGACCTTGCCAGACGTTGGTACACATAGGATGACAGTGTATAGTCCCTTTCAGGCTGGAGTCAGTCCCTGGGTGGTGAACTCCTTTACCCACACCGAGTTCCCGGGCTGGAAAGGATGCACAAGGTGGGCACAGGCAGGGCGTCACAGATGTGTTTATGGACAACTTTCTGGGCCGACTGCAGAACCTGCAAGAACTGTAAGAGGGCGAGGGGGATGAGAGTAGTTCAGTTTTCACCAGTCTCTAAAGTAAATTTGGTTAAGGTTTCCTTTAAAGTCCTGTTCATGAGCTCTACTTGCCTGGAACTCTGTGGGCGGTAAGCACAACTGAGTTTCCAATTTATACTTAACCCCTTAGAGATATCCTGTGATATCTGTGCTATGAAGGCGGGGCTGTTGTCTGATCCAAGGGTCAGGAGTAGCCTAAACCTGTTACTCCCTTTATTACATCCCAGACTGTTATTCTACTTCCAGGGACAAGCTTTCCCTCTTTCACTCAGTGTCCAATTTTTTGTCTTGAGTATTTTTTGAATGTCCTGTCTTTCTGTAATATGTATGTTCTTTTTATTAGTATTATTATTATCATTATTATTATTATTTATTTCCTCTGTACAATATTTTCTTTTCATGTCTTTCTTCTATATAATCCTTCTTTAACTTGCATAGACCCTCTGTGACTTTCTAGTCCTTCCCCTGACATTAACCTGAGAGCTTGCTCAAGCTATCTGCAGTTTGCACATTCTCCAGGTTTTCTTCTCTTTCTCTTTATTTAGATGCACACATTCCTGCTTCCCTCTGCCTTCTCCCTTTCCCTGTGACCCTACTGGACATTGCCTGCCTCTCAGGAGTTCAGTAAGCTTGGTTTGACCTAAGTAGGTGGACTGGTGCAGCTGGTTGACTAAAATCCGACCCAGAGCCTCTGGGACTAACAACCTCCCATCAGGCAGTGTCCATTATCCATTGATTTCCTTTATGACTTGTTTCTCCTTGGCTAGGTCATTTTCTAACCTAGTGCACCTGGTGAGTCCCCACTGGTTTTAGGGCTGCCCCCCAATCTTTCTGATCTGCAGCAGATTTCCCTTGCCCCATCGGAGAGCCTGGGTTAGGGCTATGAGTTCAGCCCTTTGGGCTGAAGACTTCCTATTCAAGAACTGTGACCAGACGACATGGTCCTGAGTTACTACTGCTGCCCCAGCATACCTGATTGCTTCCTGCACATAGCTGCTCCCGTCTGTGAACAATACCTCATCTGCTGATGGCGGTGGGACATCCTTGAGGTCTGAGTGGGCCATCTGCACTATGTCGATTTCCTCCAGGTAGTCCTGTAGAGGTTACTCCGGGTCATCATCTGGAGACAGGCTGAAGGATTGATAGTCAACATTTTGTGAAACTTGATGTGGGGCTGGCCCTGAGTGGCAGTGGCCAGGAATTGAGGAATCAATGGAGAAGTTCATGTCTGAGCAGGGGGTATGAGCACACCAGCATGACCAGAAACAGAGACATAGTATTTTTCCTAGAGTCTGTAGTCCTCGTCTAAGTCCAGGGATAGGTTAGGGGCCCTTTGGCCCGGTCAGGACTGAGTCCGCTGCACCAGTATCCACCAGGAAACTAACCAGTTTGTCCCCTGTTGTCTTGTTATTCTTGGTTCCCGAGGGCTCAGTTGGAAGGAGCCTTGGCCCTGTCAATTTTTTAAGTTAAAGAAGGCTTTTTACTTTGTTCCTACACACCCGGCTTTGCCCTTGTCTTTCCTATCCCTAACTGGGACCTAGGCCTGCCATCCTGACCCTTCCTCATGCTTCCCTTCCTAGGGTGATCCCTCTCCAGGGGCCCTGTTTCCCTTAAGGCTGCCTTTACTACCTTTGCCATTCTTTTATCTTGTTTTCCCCAGGGGTGTCACTTTATCATATACCTTTGAGATATCTCAAACAATTGGGCCTTTAAGCCTAAGAGGAGAACAGGGTGAAAAGTGTCCAAGGAAGCCCTCCTCCCACAGTATTTGGGTCCCACAGCGGGCAGAGGGATGGGAAGATTTCCTCTGACTCCAGGTTTTCAAAGGACACAGGAAAGGAAAGCGTCCTCCTAGCGCACATGTTACCCGGGGCAGAGTGGTTTTTTTTTTCAATTCTCTAAGCACATTTGGAGCCAGGCCCAACTCCCTAAAACTCCCCAAAGTTAACAGTGCCGCAGGAAACCTGCCTTGTTGCACTCACTGCCGCCAAACCCCGAGCTGCCTGGGCTGGCACCTAAGGAAGGAGCCCCTTGCAGGGCCCGACAGCTCTCCCCGGGGAACCCTGTGGCCCCTCCAGCCTCTGGGTGAGAGCCTGCACACTGGCCTGATGTCCCCTTTTCCCAGGACAAGGGGATCTCTGCACCAGACCCTGGTCCCAACCCATGGCGGGGCATACCATGCTATGTGCATAGCAGCCCACCTGCAGGGACTCCTCATCCCTGCAGCTTCCCCTTTTCCTCTTCTTGGTGCATCTCCTGCAGCTGGTTTTGTTGGGGGGTAGGGTGGGGGGAAGGCCTGGGCTCCTAGGGGACTTTTGCCTCCTCTGAGGGGATGGAAGGATGGGGTCCAGTCCCTATAGATTAACAGGCAAATGATCTAAAATATAGGATTTAAAAAATCCTGCATTGCCCTCAGAATCTTCAAATTTGGTAAACTGTGCACTTTGTTGGGGCCTAGAAACCTGTCCTGTTCCTTGTAAATCGGTCCCAGGAACATCTGTTCCTGTATCTAATATACCTTTAGCTTTCTTTCCATTCAAACTGAGCTCTGTTCCTGGGGACTTTGGGTGATTAACTGCACCCAAAAGCCTCCTCTGTGGAGTCCAATCCTCCCTCTCCCCGCGGTTCCTTTGATAGCACCTTAGCACTTTCCCAGACGCCTGATGCGGCAGAATCACAATCTGTGCCGTCCTAGTTTCAGGGAAAACTTGTACAATAGTATTAGTGGTTTGGGCCATAACTTTGATTTCCCCCAAATAATCAGAATCAGTAACTCCAGGCAACACTTGGAACATTTCCATAGTGAGACTACTCCTTCCCAAGATTAAACCCACTGTTTCTCATAGGCAAACTGTTTAACTGTCCATGTGCCAGTCTCTGAATCACTTATTACTCTGTCGTCTGCCTGTAGCAACCCAGCTACAAAATCTGCATTTGGGTATGGCTCTTCAGGTCCTTGTCTGATGGATGTAAGATCAAGCAAATTCTCCCCTTTCGTTGGGAGCTCTTTCCAAGCCGTCAAAGCACAAATATTAATCTGCTGATACGCCTGCAGAGAAAACCCTAGCTGATCTCCAAGAGCCTGATATTTCCCTGCGCCCGTGAGCGTTTCCAAAGAAATGGGTACTTTATGCTTTTGATTCCATATGGCCTGCTCACTGCTAATCTCCATCCAGTTATTCTTCCACATCAGATAGTCCCCCCTGGTGTAAGGAAAGCTTTGGCTAATGTTTGCCAATCACCTGGACTAAGGCTTCACTAGCAACATTCTAATAAACTGAGCAGAAAAGAGCTGTGGGCCCATACATAGTACAAGGAGATTTGAGATCTTTTAATATCTTAAATGGGATGGGCTCATGTAATTTCAATATTTGACCTGGATTGTTCGGGTCAGCCCCTCTATCACTGGAAATAATAAAAACCCAGTGATAATGACTCCAGCAGGTCTTGCCTCTCTTAGTCCCATCTGTAAGGGAGAGAGCACAGGGGCATTAGAGGGTTCTTTGGGCTGAGCCCCTGAATCCCCTCAGCAAGGTAAGAGCTATTTTTGCAAAACTTTGGGTAACATTAAACCCCTCATCTGAATCTTCCTCCGAGAGGTGCCAATGATTTTGCTTAGCCTCTCTTTCTAGTTCTCCCTTATACTCTGGGAGTAAAGTCTCAGCAGGGGGATTAACCTATCTCACAGCCTTAGCAGAAGGCAGTGGGGAGTCTTTAAAGACTCATAGCCTTTCTCAGCTTCCTTCAGGTCTTTCACCTTACCTTGTGTCCCCACCTTATTAGCCTCCTGCACAGGATCAAGGCAATCTCTAATTAGGGCCCAAGGAGTAAATGTTTGCGCCAGAAACTTGTTTGGGCCTTTCGCTGTACCTCTGCCTCGCAGGCACTTCCCTACCTTTGCTCAGGTTTCTCTTGGGGCCCAGTTTGGGGCCCACTACCAGTATTCATGCTCTGGTCTCTAGGGCATGGCTCTTTAACTATGGGGGTGGGTGTCTCATTAAATTAAGCCATTGAGCAATAGAGGGAATTGGTCTGGATGTCCTGGGTCCCCGGTGACCTGATTCCAAACTGCCTGCACTAACTCGGGGTAAAGGATCCCGTGTCAGGCCAGCCCACCCCCAGTGTGGGTCCATTTAATTCACAGAAGGTCCTTCACTTTCCTTTAGATATTTTTGTGCCCTCATCAGGAGCTTCTTCAAATCCTTCCCTAAGAACGTTTACTATGCAACCCGATGAGGTCTTCTGGGCACTAGGGCTGCTATCCACGACTAGACTAACCATACAAAGTTGAGGGAGACGGACTTCCGGTCAAGACGGCGGCGTAGGTAAACGCGGTCCACATCCACATCAAAGTTACAACTAACCTACAGAACAACCAACATTCAAAATTGCCTGAAATCAAGCTGAATGGAAGTCGTACAACTACGGAATTAAAAAAAAAAAAAAAAAGCAGCTACATCCAGACCGGTAGGACGGGCGGCGTGGTGGCCCAAGGGGTGGTGGCGGCGCAGCGGCGGCGCGGTGGCGAGACGGGCTGGTCCCACACCCAAGCGTGGTGGATAAAAATCTAATGGAACTAACAGACATTTATAGAAAATTCTATCCAACAGAAGCAGAATACACGACTTCTAAGTTACACACAGATCATTGTCCAGGATAGACAAAGGGATAGGACACAAAACAAGTCTTAGCAAATTTCAGAAGAGTGAAATCATCTGCTTTTTTCCAACAACAATGGTATCAAATCACCGACAAGAGGAAAGCTGGAAAACCTATGAATATGTAAAAATTAAACAACATACTCTTAACTCATCAAAGGGTCAAAGAAGAAGTAAAAAGAGAATTCAAAAATACTTAAAAACAAAAGAGAGTAAGAACACAACAACATACCAGTACGAATGTCTGGGTAGTATCTGTTTCCAATGCACACTTACCCAGTTCAATGGCCATGTGGATCTTTGGGAAAGGCCAGAAGGAATCTTTGCAGTTGTTGATTTGAAGGCCTCTCCCCATTGAACCTGGGCCTCTCTTTCTAGTCATAGATTGCAGATTTGAGGAGTAGCTCAGGTCTCAACGAGGACACAGGATCCAGACATTTTGCATGTGTGGAGTAGGAGGTATTTTTCCAAGGGAGTGAGCCCCAAACTTTAGAAGAACCCTACCTAGTCTCCTGCTCCCCAGGGTAATTCTGCTTGTCACCGATGACTGAGCATTAGATGTATTACACCTTGTAGTATAAAAGTGATAAAGGGACACATTTTACTTCCAATGACCACATGAGGTGTGGAGCACACAATGTACAAACACCTCTCACCAAGTGCAATCCTCTTACTGTAGACCCAGGTGTTAGGACACACAGGAGGAGGTAATTTAGATTGAGAGGTCAGTAAGACTTAATGGGAGATGATATTCATGTTCAGCTTTAAAGCAGAACCAGCTCTTGGTGATGGGACAGAGAATACCAGACAGAGGAAGGAGCCAGAACAGAGCTTAGAGGCACGATGGTGAGGACCAGCAGGTAGGCCAAGGCAGCTATACCATAGGGGAGTAGAGAACAGGGCACGACATGAGTGGGGAGACGGGACAGGGTGGGTGTGTGGGAAACCACAATGGCAACCGTGAATTCCAGAAACAAAACATATCAGGAACACACACACATGCACACACACAGCTTATAGGGTCTATCTATCTCAGAAGAACTGCAAAGCCCTTGTCTCTGGTTTGGTTACATGAAGCCTTCAGCATCGCAGTGGGGATCAGATCTGTAACAGAGAGTGTGCACACCTCCCATTCCAGGCCTGTGCTGACCATGCTGATGAGGTGAAGGAGGGAGAAGCTAATTTATTTGGAGCATAAAAGGGTCAGTAGAAAACAAAGGCAGAGGCCCTGTCATTATACAAGGAGCAAAGTTACAGAAATCTGAGGACGTACTCTGAAAAAGGAAGCAGTTGAATCATCTTTACCATTCACAGGAAATACACTCATGGTAGGAATAACTTCCCTTTGTTTCTGTTACATTAATAGTTGATGTACCACAAAGGTAATACAATTAATAGTTGATGCT